GGGTCAGTCTGAGACTATTTTTCTCCCAGCAAGAACGTTTACCCGTTCCCCCAAGTCAATCGGGGGGGGTCCATACGTTGAAGGGGATTCCAATCTTCCAGGGCACTCCCTGATAAAGCATTAGCGCTGTTTGTTCCGATTGTTTTGGTGAATTGGGTCCTTTATTTCCTCTAGAAGACAACCCTGATCAGTAAGCGAGAGGGGTATTCATCAAATGCTTCGGCCAGCACCTCTGGCAGTAGCCTTGTTACGTGCAGCCTTGAGAGGAGCGTGGATTTTCATGAAGTGAGCTGTCTTCTCAAGCTGCTTTTTTTCCCAATTGGTTTTCCAAAGTTGATGGCCCAAGGATCTTAGATTTGCAGCTCAACTTCCGTTTGGCTTCCCGAAAGACCACCGATGAACTCCCAAGGCTGCGGTTTTAAAGCCGGCGTTCGTTGATCCGGTCGGAAAGGGAGCAGCGTCAAACGAAGCCAAAACCGGCCCGGGGCACAGGACCCAAAGCACTTGGGGCTGTCCTGAACAAGAGGATTCTGTGAGAGGAACGGCTCTTATCAAGAGAAATCAAGAGGATCAGAGTCTCGACGTTTTGAACAAGTCGATGGAGACTGACGTGCAAATTGAGGGCTCTGTTACTTGTTTTTGGATCACCCCTTTACATAATTGCATTTGGATCTCATACATGACCCAATTACATTTGTACATTATGACATAATTCTTGTTTTTGGATCTGTTACAGTAATTGATGTACATAGATTGCATTTCATTGTGGTGCAGCTCATCTCCCTGACTGCAAAATCAGCTTAGCTGCAGCTACCTCTCCAATTCTGCCCTCAAGCCATCCTAAACAAAGAGCGCGGCCAAGCTTAAACCCAACGCTCTGAATCCCAGGCCATTTTGCGATCACTAAACTCCGAACTGAACCTGAACCAGTCCCAAAGATTGCTAAACCAACCTAGAACCAGCCTTGCACCAAAAATGAACCAACCCCAAGACCTGAACCAACCCTCGGATGCCTGCCCGCCCGTGCCACCCTTAGTCAACCACCAGCCAACCCTGGGAACGCCTTAACCATCGCTTGAAACCAAGCACAAAGCTGCTTCCAACCCACCCTAAGTTGACCCGAACCAACCCCAAAGAAACCCTAGGCGAAGCCGAAATCAATCCTCAAACGAATCCTAGAGCCCTCAGGTCAACCGGTATTCCCACCACCCTACACAAACAACAACCCCAAATCAAGCCTCAACCAGTTCGCTGCTCAACCCAAAATCCATGGCCACGGTATGACCAACCCCAAGCCAACTAGACCAACCCTAAACTCATGCTGAATCAACAGATTCCTTACATCAAACAAACTCTAAAACTGCCTGCTTCATTACTCAGATGAAGCATGAAACCCTCCCTTCTAAGCCTACCAAAAAAGCAGCCACAAACTGGCCCAACTGCAACACTAACCCCGCAGACCGCTGTAAACCAAGCCTCAACCCAGCTTCACCCAAACCCATAAAGCAAGGCAAAAGCAATGCTTCACCAACCCAAAACCCACCCCACGCCAACCCCAATCTCACCCTAAAGCGGCCCAGCCCGCCAAAGGAAACATCCAAAACCAACCTAAACCCGACCCACTCTTCACCTATCCTGAACCAGACTGAAACGAGTCACCCTCTATCAAGCCCCACCCAGACAGAATTCGAACTTCCGAATGGAAGCTCCCCCCAAACATGAACAAAGGGACACCTTCCCAAAAACAGTATTCTTCCCTTGAAGACTAGACCTCAACTGATGATATACATGCGTCTAATGTCGCTTGATATGTCCGGCCAATGTTTAGTGGGCATGGCCATGGCACTCTTCCTGAGTTTAATATGTCCCAACCCAAAAAAGTAGTCACGTGTCCCGTTGGGGTCAGACTCCAGTGGTATCAATCGGATTAAACCAAATTTGTTCAAAGGGGATGCGTGTTTCAAAGAATCAGGGACCCCTGCAACTGGTTGGGGTGTGTGTGATTTCCTTTTTGCAATGTCCAATTTTCGCACACAATCAGATGCGACCCCACTTAACCGACCTGTTTGGGCTTGACCCTAGGCTCACAGGCCGGGATTCCCTGCACAGGGCCTCATGAAGCACGACGTGCCAGTGGACATTATCGTAACGCCCACGCAGACCATCTACGTGGACAAGGCAGGGGCATCTTCAGGGTCGTTGGGATTTCGATTGAAGTGTTGCATGTTCAGGTTCACGGGCAGAGTCAGAATCGTCTTTAAAGGGAACCCGGGCCGCCACCTTTTGAGGTTGGGATCGGGGGTTGCCTGGCTCGAAAGAAGAGTCGAGTTGGTATCTTAATTTTCCCAGTCAAGTTGGGGGTTGGGGGGGAGTTGAAGGTCCCCCCCCTGACCGAATTCGTTTCCTGGCTCCGCCGCGCTCACTGCAGAGCGGCAACTCGGAAGAAGAAGAAGAAGAAGAATACGAGGTCAAGAGGAAAGAGGAAAGCTCTTGGGCACATGTTTGTGTACATCAATGTCGGAACATGGGGTCCTTTCCCAGAGGACGTAGGCGGCATGGCAAAGTCATGTCCCCAAGGCTGCCGATTTTACATGCTTCTGAATACGCATTCCGCCTTTGCAACCTCGGCATCCCATGGGCAGAGTCAGAGGCCATCTTTCATGAGGTCAGGGAGCTGGGGGTCAAACCATTTGGACCCTTTTCCAAAGTGGTGTCATGGTTTTGGTTCACACTTCAAGTGGTCCCAAGGGACCGTAGTTTCCGCATTCCCTGTTCAGGGTGCAGAGGCGGCAGCCTTGCTGGGCTTGATAAATGGAAGTAACGAGTCAAATGATGTGAGAAGTCAAACTGTTTGCAGATCTCTGTTGCGAACAAAGAATCGACCGCCCAATTTGAACCCCTATAGGCCAACCAAGCCGAGTCACGGCGTAACTTGTCCAATGTAGACATGACCCCTGAAGGACGTTGGAGTCGATACTTTCGGCATGTAATCTTTGCAAATAGAACATGGAACCCTACAAGCTTGTATTTCAGGAGATGTCCCCTCAAAATGGAGGCGTTGGCGATTCCATGTCATCCTGCAGAGTGCTTGGCGTTTCTGTTGCGTCAGGCGAAGCAGCCGCCGAAGCCCAAAGGCGTCTTGGTTCTTTTGGACCAAAACGCACTTCTCGTGTGTATTTTAAGGCAGGAAAGGCCGTGTTTGAGTTTCGTGGAAGTGTAGAGTTTTTGTTGGCCTATCCATGCCGGAAGTCAGGATCTAGCGAACGGCTGCTTTTCACTCTGCGCTGAAGCAATTGAAGGCTTGGTTGAGCATGACTCTGTTGACAATGTCCCTATTGTTGGTTACGGGTTTAGGGTTTCTTTTGGGAGGATCTGACCCATATTGCCATGCTCATGGAGTTCCACTGTTTTCCTTTCGGGCTCCTTTAAATCCCGAACAGGCCCGTGTCTCTCAGGGGCATCAGTCCCCATGATTTCCCTTCAATGAAACAACAAGAGACCCCACCCCACCCCACCCCACCCCACCCCACCGCACCCCGCATCAAGGGAAGCTCGTGCAAGGTTGCACATACCCAAGATGAACTGAACCGCCCCACCAGCCCATCCCAGCTCACCGGTGAGCTCACCCCCCACCCCACCCCATCCCACCCCAGGAATCTACTGGGACTTGCTCTCCCGCCAGAAGCTGGCGGAAATCCGCGTGCTGCAGGACCTGAAGGCACTTTCTCCCGTAGGGCGCTGAACCGCCCAGATGTGTGGTTTTTTCCGAAAAAAAAAAAAAAAAAAAAAAAGGACCAAGGGGATGGGTCCGGTATGTCGCTTTCCAGACAAATTGACATCCAGAGCAAACATGAGCAAACCAGCAAACCACGAGAAAGAGCAAACCGGTCTGGCGATCAAGGGTTCCTACCTTGGGATACGAATCAGGCACCTTTAGTCTCACTATAAGCATCATGGCATGCCGGAAAGGATTCTGAAAAAGTACAAGGAACTTTGCCCAAAGTGGCTCTTTGTTGGCATCTGGCAAGTTTCTTGTAGAAATTCCTTTAGCTGGTTTCTTGGATTCGTAGTTGTCCTTGTTGCCTCCTTTTGTATTGCCTCCTTTTGTGATACCATTACCTGAGAGAAAGAAAAGGGAGGTCATAGTGGGCCAACGCTGGAATTATTATCACCTGACCAGCAAATACAGATACATGATAAATGGAGTAATAATTCCTCATGAAAAGATATGAAGCATAGAATTGGATTTGTTCATTTCCAGCGCAGTTCGAGAATCTACTAATCTAGAGTCTTTATTTAATGTGTGTTGGTTTACTTCTTACTACATTATGTTGTCCTCACCTTCAAATACTGAGTCGACAGAGCGAGAAAGAAACGATCGACGAGACATTGAATCAGCCTGGAGCCACTTCCAGAATCCAGATGTGACGACCAAGAGATAGCTTGCCAGGAAAGGAATCTCATTTGTGTTCATACATTCTCATTTGGCTCCGTTTGAAAAGCGTTGTTGCAAGTCTTGCCCCTGCGCCACATCTGGCTGTTTTCGAGGCCCGTATCGAGCGCAAGACGGGGATTGAGCTGGAGCTGGCCGAGCAGGAGGAAGCGCTTCCCCCGCTGGCCAAGCGCGGCAAGCCCCGGCGAAAGCAGCCCTCACGCCCGCGAGCGGAATCCCCGGAGTCCGAGGGAAAGGCTGTCAAAAGTAGGCTGCGCAGACCATGAGCCGAAGCAATGGTCGAAGCTTGCAACCCATATACAGTGCTTCTAGGTGTGTGGCTTAATCTGGTGGTATTGTGTGTTTGATTCTTTTTGGATCGCTTGATTTGACCAAAGCCCGCGCTTCTGAAAGCCCTTTGACGCGCTGCCAAAGAGAATGCACAAAGAAAAGCATCCTGTCACCTAAAGTTTGCGGGAAAACAGCTACTGCCAGAGAATCGCCTGCAAAAGTTTGACCGGCAGCCGCGCGTTCCTGCCATTTGCTGTGGGCCTGTCGGATGTCCGAGGCACTGTGAGTGGCCTTGGCGTGGTGGGAATGTGGCTGTGGGTGCTGGAAACCAGAGGCTGCGACATGGAAGATAGCCCCATGACGTTGCTTGGCAGAGAGAAGGAGGAACTGGCTGCAGTTCTGCAAATGTGGGCGTGTCTCTTTTTTAGGGACTCCCCAAAACGCCTTGAAACCCCGCATCTACCATTGATGTTTGGCGCTTTGTAGCACCGTTTTGCCAGACTGTGACCATTGTGTTGTAGCTTGTGAGTCGGTCAAAGTATCGAGTCTGTGGTCGTGGGACTCACGAAGCTTTCCGCAAAAAAAAAGGAGACCCAGAAGTGAATTATCCTTGAGAAAGGGCAGCCTCAAAAGGTTTTTCTCTTTGTGTCATTTCACCAACACTCAATGTCGATGTTTACTAAAAGGGATGACGTTGCTTTGGTGCATTTTGCTTGGATGTTAGGACTTTAACTTTTTGCCAACCAATGGGTTTTCCATTAAACCACTAAAACGTATTAAACAAATAAGCTTTAGCAGGGGAAAGTAACCGAGGTCGCGCAGGCAATTGGCATCAGAACCATTGGGTCAACTTACAAAGTTGCCACGAAGCTCACGAGGCCTCGGAGTGAACGGTCCACGTCGATTCTGCTGGGCGGCAGCAATCAAGCGAGCGGCCAGGCTGCACTCGCAGATTCGCAGCTGGGCCGTGCCCCTTTGAAACCAAAATTTGGAGTGGACAAGGATATAAAACCTCAAGAAACAGGGGGAAAAAGGTGAGGGAATCCACGTCCCAAGCCACCTCAACTATCTCAAGTTCATCCTGTCGAAACCGCTGGTGGCTTTCTTTTGGGCAGTGCGAGCCGCGAGGTCCGAGAAGCGCGCCTTTCAGCTGCATTCGGTCGAGTGGAAGACGAGTTCCCTCGGGTTTTTTTTTGGCGAGCAATCGACCCAACCTGTTTGGTGCCGTGGATAGAGTTGCTTTGTGAAAGCAAGCCCGAAACTCCCGCCCAGGAGGGTGGTCACTAAAGCACACAAGAGTGCAGGCTCAGGGCTGGAGGCTCCACGTCGGCTTCCAAGCTCGGGATGGTAAAAAGAGTCCGCGGGCCTTAGCCCCACAACCCGTCAGATGGGCCCACGTCGATTCACAAAATGCAGTTCACTGTTGCGCCTGGCATGAGGCAGCTGAAACAGATGCTGAATGAAGATCCCATAGAGGAGCCTGAGCAGCAGGAGCCAATATACTTGCAAGCTCCTTGGATGCATCAACATTTTCTGGCGGGCTAAGAAGCCTGCTCCGAAGGTTGCACGATTTTGAGTGGATTCGGATTTTGACCTGTCATCGGACCGTCCATGCATTCGGGAACAAGGATAAAAGAACCCCCCCAGCGAAGCAAGAAAGACCTGGTTTGGCCAAATGCCTGAACTTGAGGGGAGAACCATCAACAACATGTTACATGAACCCTCATGATGGTTTGTTAAAGGGTCCATGACTGCTTTAGCTTCATGCCCATATGCCTTCAGCACGGCTGGTGACCTGTGCTTTGTGAGCTGCGTTCCAAGGTTGACTGAACGTGCATCCAGAGGTTTCGTTTGAATGACCTCGGGCATTGGGACACGCGGATAGGAAAGCAAGCGGTGTGATAAGACAGTTAATATCAGGTGCCTTCTGTTGCTTGCTTCCCTCCATCCATCGTGTGGTTTCACAAGAGAATATGTTATGTTGTATTTATGACGAAAAAAATGATGTTGAATCAATCTCAACAGGAGGGAGTTGTGTCAAAAGTATGTGCAAAGATGCTCACAAGCAAATTAAATTACATATCATAATTTATCAGATAAATAGAAATTAATATAAACAATATCTAGAGATAAATATAGGAATAAAAACCGATTATTATAAAAATAATTATTGAATATAATAATATATGTATATATATATATATTCTTATATAATTCGGTACGGCCTCGAGGTCGTATTTCTCGTGTATCGGCAAGTCGTTGCATTATAGTGGGATTCCGGGCGAATTATAATGTTTGGGACGAATGGTTATGTTTTTTGTTTTTTTTTCTCCCCGTGGTACGAATTGTTGTTTTTTTATGCGGCTTGGAAGGTCCCGAAATGTTGTTGAAATTTCGGGGGCGATTCGTAATTTTGCTTAGAGTGTGCGAGGCATGGTGCGGCTAAAAAAACAAATCCCGAATTTTGGGTCGTTATCTTAAATTGATTTAAATATTTGATGGTTTGCCGAAAATATTATTGGGGTAAATTTCGAGGAAATTTGGGGGATTTGTTCGAATCGAAAGTGTTGGGTTGTTTTTTTGGTGTTTAAGTTTTTTGTTTTTATTTATTTGTTTTTTTTTTTTTTTGTTTGATTTTGTGTGTTCGTATTGATTTTGGTATTTGTTGTTTGTTTGTATTGTGTTAGAGATTGTGTATTTGGTAATAATTATTTATTTTTTTGGTTTGTTTTAGGAATCGATTTAAACATGATTTATTTTCATATTGTTATATATTATATTTCTTCCTGTCTTAATTATATGTTTTTTTTTTTATAATTGATTTTTTTTTTTTGACTTGTTTATTTATGTTTTTTTCTTTTTCTCTTTGTTTTTTTTTTTTTTTGTTTCTTTTTGTTTTTCTTGTTCTTTTTATCTTTCTTTCTTTTATTTTGTTTTCTGTTTCTTTCGTTTTCTCTCTCTTTTTATTCTCTTTATTTTTCTCTTTATTTTGTCTCTCTCTTTTTCTTTCTCTTTTTTTTCTCTAAAAAGAGAGAGAAAAAGAACTAAAAAAATAATATTAAAAAAACATAATAATTAACAATAATATAAAATTAAAATACATATTATAATATAAATTAAACAAATATTTATATATTAATAATATTATATAAATATCTGGACCAACCAAGGGTATTTTTTTCAATTGTTAGCAAAAATCCGTGTATTTGTTTGAAATCCATATATTTGAGCAAAAAATATATTTTTCTTGCAGGCTCAATGCAAGACACAGGAATATTCAACGATTTTTTCTATAAGAATCTCACGTTTAGCTTCGGCCTTGGCATTGGCGATTGTTATATTCATGGGCCAAGAAATTCTACTTGAAGGTATGTAATTCACTAAGAACAAAAGGCGCGTATTTGGCCAAGAAAATATTCCATAGATTTCCATATTTTTTTCCATAGCTGATTTCCGTACATTTCCTATTTCCATATTTTGGCTGAGAAAATTACAAACTCACAACAACGGCAAGGAACCTGTCATATATCGCCCCACAGCAATAGGAGACAAATGACCAGAAACGGAATTATATATAACGGGCCATATAAATTACAAATTGTGTTCATATACATCCATATGCCCAGCAAACGTTCATAGTCTACTAAAAACGATTTCCGTCAAATTTCCTCAAAAATGTATATTAACGGTGTTTTCTGCATATATGGTAAATTTCAGTATTTTTAGAGGGTTCAAATATATAAATATATTATTATTATTATTATTTTCAAAATTATTATTTATTATTTATATTCAAATAAAATATGTTTTAATAGTCCTATAATTATATAATAATATATTATTTAGAAATTGAAATTTTGAAAATTCTATATTACTAGAGAAACCCCGTTAATTCCATCAATAGCAATATCAAAAAAATAAAAAGGAAGGATAAAAAACATGAAAGTCAAAGAAAAAGAAAGAGAAGAAAATATATATAAAAAAAAGAAAAGACATAATAAAACAGAGAAAAACAAAAAATAAATAGAAAAGATATTAAAAAACATAAAAAAAAAGAACCAAAATAGAGAAAACGATTCTTTCTTTCTCTTTTAAAGAGAAAAGGAGGGAAAAAAGAGAGAGAGAGAGAAGACTAAGAAGAGAAAAAAAGAGAAAGAAAGAAGGAGAAAAAGAAAAAGAGAGAAAGAAAACGAAAAAGAAAGAAAAAGAGCAAACGCGTTATCGTACTGCATCTCCTTTTTTTAAGCTCCGTGTATTTCCTTTTAATCTTTTCTTGTGTTTGTTTGCTTGCTTGTTTCCCTCTTTTTCTCTCTCTTTCTCTTTCTTTCTTTCTCTTTCTCTCTTTCTCTCTCTTTTTAATTTTATTTTTTTCTTTTTAATTCTCTCTTTTTTTGTTTATCTCTTTTTCTCTCTCCTTCTTTCTTTCTCTTTATCTCTAAAGTGTGCCGTCTTTGTAAATCGACCCGTAGAAACTAGACAGACAGAAAAATAGAGATAGAGATAAAAATAAATAGACATTACCAAATAAACAGATAGGGTTGTGCGGAAATAAACAGAGACACACACAAATATGCAAACAAATAAGGACGAACGACAAACACGAACACATAGAGATAAGCAGAGACAAACCGAGAGACAGAGAGACACAAACAGACAGATAGAGACAGAGAGACACAAACACCAAAAAGCACAAATTGGGATATATAGAGATATATAGAAATAGACAGAGAAAGACAAAAATTACGAAATTGATAGATATGAATTCACGGAAATAGATTGGGAGAGAGTAAGAGCCGCATCGCCGGAAGCGAGCCAAAATTCGAGAAAATTTGGTCGGGCTATGCCGCGGCAATTCCAAGCAAAGTTGTTAAAATTCCCCATGAAATTTCGATAAAATTTCAAGGGAGAAAAGACCGGGACAAACATAGCCGCTCGCCGCAAGCATTACGATATTTCTTCAATTCCTTAATAATAGTCTATAGCTATAAAATAGATTTAATTCATCTATTAATTCTTAATATATTAAATCTTTCTTTGTTTAATATATATAATATAATAACCTCAGACTCTAAAAATCTATCACAACTCATCTCACAATTATCCAATTCGTCCAATTCTCAATCCTAAATTATTTTTTCCAACAAAATAATAAAACAATATTGTAAAATCAACAATATATAAATATCAATCAAATACATATACTAGCGGGGGCCTGCTGCTTTCCAGCAACATGTGAAATGAAGCCCATGAGAATAACAGAATCAAAACATAAAATGTAAATCATTCCAATTTATTAATTATAAATGAATATATATGATCATATTCACAGAAATAGAAACCAGACCGAACAAATACTTCCTAAAATACAATTTCGAAATATTTCGAGAAAATAAATGACGATCATTTTAAGTCTTTGCCTTAGACCGTGCCTAAATAAAATAACTCGAAAGACTACACAATTGCATTAAATTAAAAACCCAATTCTAGAGACATAAATATCTAAAAATGAATTATAAACAAAATTTTTCAGAAGTATCTCACTTCCTAAAACACTATAATGCACAAAACAATATCTCTCAGGTGTTCGATATTAACATATAGACATTTAATCAACGAAAAACGGTCGTCTAAAAAATAGAATAGATTTATAAATTATTAGCCTCAAAAAATCCATTTCCATATATAAGTATTATAACATATGCGAAAATATCATCGATCAAAATATATCTTAGGTATAAATATAGCCCAATTAATGTCGCTTATCGCCAAATTCTTGCAAAACAAACATAATATGTCAATCAAAATAATAACAATATATTCCCAAACACATTTTTCACAAGTATATTTGTTCCACAACCAACCATACCAATATATCTAAAGAATTATTCGTTCGAATCTCCTAAATTAATCCAAAATCGACCAATTTCACCGTCTTGTTATACTCTCCAAATTCTATCAAAAACAATCCCTAAATGTATAAATTCATAACAATTAACCTATGCAATATCAATTAACTCATAAAATGTAACCTATACAATATCAACTTCAAACAAATAAACAAACAAACAAACAAAACGACAAAGACAAAAACACAAACAAAGACAAAAACAAAAACAAACACAACCACACAAACACAAACACAGACACACAAACACAGACACACAAACACACAGACACAGACACACAGACACAGACACAAACACAGACAGACAGACACAAACAAACAAACACAGAGACACAAAGACACAGAGACACAGAGACACAGAGACACAGAGACACAGAGAAACACAGAGAGACACAGATAGACACAGAGAGACACAGACACAGACACAAACACAAACGCAGACACAGACACAGACGCAGACACAGACACAGGCAGACAAAGAAACAGATACCAGAGACAGAGAGACCAACAGACAAAGAGAGACAGAGAAAGACACAGAGACCAAAAAGAGACACACCTCCGGCGCGCAGGCTTCGCCTGCGCATATATGCGTCCGACTCCGAGCCCGAGAGCCGTGATGCAGACGGACGGGCTGCAAGAACGCGCGTGCGAGCTCTCGGCTGCGCGTGCCCCAATTGCACGCGGCCGCTGGCCGCTTGTCCCCTGGCGCCCTCGCCCAGTGGAGCGAGCCAGTGGGAAACGGTTTGTCACGTGCTTGTCTCGGCGCTGCCCCTTGCAGGACTGGGCACCCCGGGTTGCTACCGGCCCGGTTTGGATTGGTAGTTTGGATCGGTGTTTTGGAGGTTAGGGGGCGGTTTTCCATTCAACTTCAACATGATCCAGGGGTTCAATCCCCAAACCACCAATCCAAACCAGCAGTTGGGGGTAAGTTGAGGCGGGTGCCAAAAAAGGGCCAAACTCTCAGGGGCCAAGGTCCAGATCTTACAGAGCCCGTGCCGGCAAGACATTTTTTGCAACTCAGGCACCAACATATTTTATTATCTCATACGTATCAAAAAATGTACACCCGTCGCATGCGAAAAGCATGCTGCCGTTCTCCAAACACAGGTCGCGAGACGCACTGAGGGCCGGGCTGGTCGCGATAAGGTCACGCCAAAGAGTCAGTGAAAGGCGGTCGCCTGAGCAAGGTGAGAACGGATCCGCGGGCTGTTGGCCTCGAAAGATCCATCCGCACACGCAATTGTTGCAAGCGCAAGCGAAAACGCGATCGACCAGAAAACATCCTGGGTGCAAGCAAAGCCGAACTGATTTCGCCCAAAGCATAGGGAAAAACACCACTGGTCGCAACAATCGGCCGCGGCTCACAGCTTCTCGCGTCGCCAAACTCTCGGAAGATGGGCCAAGATTTCAGCCAAAATTGCTACGGACAGGTAGATATATGCCCCGACTCTTTATCTGGAAGACACAACGGCTTTGTTCAACGGCTACGGATGGGGAGATATATGCCTAGACTCTTAATCTAGAAGACACAACGACTTCGTTCAAAGCCCGGAACATTTTTCCGAAATATCCCGGATATTTCGAGAGTCGCACTCCAGACCATTTTTCCGAAATATTCCGGATATTTCGACAATAGCATTTCCCAAAAAATTTGGAATATTTCGGGAAAATGGTCCCCAAAATATTCGGAATATTTCGAGAAAATGGTGGGTGGCTACGATTCCCGGATCGCTTTCCCGAAATATCTCCCGAAATATCTGGAATATTTCGGGAAATTGGTTCCTACAAAAAAATGAAGCCACTATGTCTTCCGCACATATGCCGGGGTAGCCTGGATAGATTTGGGCAAGCGGTTCGTTGGAAATATGAAGCGGTTACATCTTCCAAGCGCAATCCAGACCAATTTTCGAAAAGCGGTCCGGGAAAACCCGCGCAAGTGCGACGAGCAAGTGTCACGGTTTCGTTTTATAGAGTATATACATATATAATTTTATAAAACCAAAGATCATTCATCAAACTTATATAATGTTGTTCAATATCAATCAAACATATATAATAACACAACCTATAATAAATAATATATATATACATAAAAATAATTCATATCATATAAAATCCCTATATTATATTTATAATTATCATTTAAATGTATTATCATTTTTTTGCAAATCATATTTTAATAACAAATTATAATCCACATTATATAAAATAATATCAATATAATATAATATATCTCTATATATAGATACTATATATATATATGACTAATCACACGTGTTAACTTATTGTAGATCAGTGTTGGATTGCGAGGATTGTGCTCATTAAAGATCCAATTCAAAGATTTCGATCAAACTTCTAGATTGTCAACAACGTGCAATCAGCAGTTGCCCGAGCGGACGGCTACGACATTGGCTGTTTGCCAAGGTCAGAGAAGCCGTTCAAATCAGAATGCAGTATCATCTGACTCTGCTCTGCTTCTTGGCAACTGCCAGGACTGCACGCCGCTTGGGCGGTGCTGCCTTCCTGGAGAAGAGGACAGGCTGAACAAGGCAAGTCAGGCCTTTTTGGGCCTGTCCCTCCAGAGAGGCTGTGAGTTAGGCGTGCCAGCGGCAGTTCCAACATCCTCTGGACCGATCCAGGACTGCAAACAAGCACAAGAGCGAAGAGCTTTGTTTGGATGTGCGCATGCAAACAAGAGTAACAATCATAAGCGTCGGACGTTGGTTCATGAGGCGTCATCTGCCGTCAAGTTGGCTCAGAAGCGGCGGGCACGGCGGGAGCCGCAGCCTGCGGCTCCAAAGCCCAACTCTGAGTAGCCATCCGGAAGCATCCGATGAACGATGCCGACTCCGGACGAAAAGAACGTCTCTTTTTGTCCGGTTCCTCCGGGTTTCTGGAAAAGAAAGAAACCAGCAAAAGGATCAACCGTGAGAGCTGTCTCGTGGCTTCAAAAATGAGTCCGAAGTGGGGCCTCAAACAGAGTTCTTTTCTTAGCTACTCCTAGCACCGTCCGAAGCACTTCAGCTATTCCCATTTGAACGAAAGAGTCTCTCGATATATGAACTATCCCAACAAACGGACAACTCGAGGGAACCTGGACCAGAATCTGATGTTGAAGGGGAACCCCGCCCCCCAGTAGAGAGGTTAGAATAAGGGGACCCTTTTTTCTGTAGTCTATTTTAGTAGGGGAACCCTCCCCCAAAAAGGGTAAAAGGGCACATAGATGCAGATTGGGACAAAGGCATGTGACACATCTGAGCAACTCCGGGCCTGTGCCTGCGGCTCTTGCGCTGGCGCTTCCTCTGGGCCTGCCGCTTTCCGGCCGCTGGGGCGCCCGGTTGGGGGAAAAAACATACGGGTTTGTCTAAACCAACCAAACGGGGGTGCCCCCCAAAAACGATACGCCCAAATATCACAAGCAAGAAGTCTCAAGTTCTCAGTAAGGACCCTCATGGGTGAGCCCAGCACTTCCAGATGAGCTCGTTGCGGGCGATGTCTAGAAATCTCACTCAACATAAGCAAGACCAAATAAAGCCAAACACGGCATTCACGAGGCCAAGCAAGCCATTTAGAGGCCAAATCTGCAAAACATATCAGCTTTGGGGGCTTGTTGACCGGGGGGAGGGGCCTGTACTAATAAAGGGATACCGTTAGGCCAAATAAAAATAAACGTTGGATAGTGTTTGGCTCGTCTCAACACAGTGGACTCCTTTTGCATGCGCTTGAGAGGAAACCAAGCTGGAAACTAAGCACCCGGAGGTTCCCTGAATCTGAGAGGGGCTCGGGATTGTGGTCTCTGTCCTTGAAACCCGAGCCAGTCTTCCAAGGCACTTTCTAGGCCTGTCGCTTCATGCTTGTGCCCTTGCCCCAGTTGCCCAGTGACCCATTCGGCAGAAAAAAGGGAACCCTTTATAAGGGTTGGCCAGCTTTAAACACCAACAACGTGAGGAAACAAATGCCGCTGAACTGCTGGGATCTAAAATGCTTGTTGCAAGTTATTTGGTTTACCTCTGAAACAAACGACAACAAGCAAACCATGCCTGACCTGGGACAATGACCTTTGAGAGCGGGCAAATGTCTCGCTTGTCTTCCTGACTCCCTCCCTCCAATGATCCTTTCTATCTTGAGCCCAAACTCCTGATTTTATGCGCCTATTTTCATAACCACACCCCAGAAAACTAACATAGAACACAGAAAGGAGTCTGCCAAAGAAGCCCCTTTTGGAGGCTGTGAAAGAAAAACACACAGCACCACAATGCACCACAACACGTGCCTCGGGTGAAACTTGTAGTTTCTGGGTGGCTCACCTATTCCCCCCGCCCAACATCCCCCCTGCCCATGGAAGCAAATAGCCAGGCTGCATGGGCTCTCCCTCGTGCGCTTCCCAAGTGCTGAATCGGGCGGTCCGATGGCCTCCGAAATTCGGCAATTGGCAAAGTTCAACTCTGATTGGTTGCTTGGTCATTGCTTTGAGGTTAGCAGCCCTGGCAAGGATTGGCACTTGAGCAATCAACTGGGCAAACTGAGCCATGCTCTCTACGAAACTTCCCCGTTGCCTAGTCTTCTCCTGAGCGCATCCCTGCAAACATGGGAGGAACATACCATAAATGAGATCCATGCCCAAGGGGTTGCCAATGCTGAGGATGTGAGTTCCCCCACATGCCGCGCATCTACCTTGCCTGCCACGCAACATGCGAGACGGCCAGTGGTTGGTATATGAAGGAACATCTTTTTGGTCCATGGTTTGTTCCATGCATACATAATCATACATACATGATGTTTAACCCCCCAGCTTTAAGGCAAATAGCGGGGGGACCTTGGTGAAAGTCACAAGGCTGTAAGTTGGCCAAGGCTTGTTGGAGACCCCGCGATTTCTCTGGCTTCTGTGGAGCACACCTCCAAACATGAGCAGACACCAATCAACAAACTGAAAGCAGACCAACAAAAGGTACATGGTGAGTCTGGGCAGGTGAGACACTTAAAACTGTAAAAGCATGGAATCCACCTGAAACAGCCACGAGTCAGAAACAAAACCAGAAAATGCAGCTAGCCTCCAGTCACCCAAATGCGGTTGCATGATCAGCTGACGTGAGTAATCAACCAGTTAGCATTATCCAAAAGTGGGTATGTGTCAAAAATGGGGGGACACTGAAAATGGGGCTTGCCCCAACGACTAAAATTGAATCTTGATTCGTTTTGGGCAGCTCAGGCAAGCCCCGTCGTTTCCATGTCGCGATTCGTTTTTGTTTGCCATTTCTGCGTTCATTTGTTTCTGGGTATGGCTTTTAGTCGGGGACCCTTGGGGCACATCCTTCACATGGTGAGTTGCGTCCACCAATCAATCTTGACGATCTTCCTCATGAAACTTCGTAGCTTGCCCCCCAACAAACGAAGCGCGCGGGTTCGCGTGCTCGTATCAGGCAAGTGGCGCTGCCCGCCATCATCAGGCACTGTCCAGGGCGCACCAAATCCTGAAACTGGACTCCCGGAAACCCCCACAAATTCCCCACAAACCTACCTGAAAAAGAGAAGCTTGCAACAAGCTGCATACTTTGTGCTTGTTGGGAAACGTGTGACATTTGCCAGAAGATTGAACAAGGCAACAAACTGAGGATGACCAAATCGGGAATTCCGTAACCTAGAACCCCCCCTTTATGGCACTTAAAGAGACTCCAAAAAGAGAACTTCCTGTTTTCGGGTGCTCTTTTGGGGGAACATCCCTGTTGCCCCCACAATCTTTGACGGAAGCTATCTTTTGCACGTGGCGCTCCGATACACCAACGCCAAGGGCGTCCTTCAATGGTCCGAAACGGAGGTTTTGAGTTCCCAAGGCATTCTCACTGAGATGTTTGGTTCTGCGAAAATGTACGCGTATCCCTAAAAGTGCATTAAACCCCTCCCCCAAAAAACAAACAAACCAACCAACCAACCAACCAACCAACCAACCAACCAACCAACCAAACAAACAAACAAACAAACAAACAAACAAGCACAACAACAACTCCACAAAAGGGTGTTTGTGTCGTGACTTTTTGTTTACCGGGTTTTGAACATGGGCATGGTGCTTAGGCCATTGCCATCTTTTACACAGCTTTCGGTTTCCTTCAAAGTCCGCCGAGTCTGTTTCGACAAAACAAAAAAATCATCAGACAAAACAAACAATAACAACAGCAAAGAACACCTCTAACAAAACCACATGCCTTGAAAGAGGTCAAAACCATGTGACGAGCTTAATCCACTTCTCCAACCCTTTGCTCGCACTCCTTGATCTCCTGCCACGAGGGCTCATGGGGAGGAGAGACATCCTCATTGATTGGCAGCCTGGACAGTCAGAGCATTTCCCAACCCTTGGAAAACATTGCCAAACAACTGTGCTTGAGCTATCGTTTTAACCAGCAACACCGGAAAGCTAAAGGAGGGAGTTATTGTAGAGCAAGGCGGGGGAAGCACTGCGTTGCTTGTATCTGGGTAAATCATAAAAAAGGCAAGGGATATTGCGGGTGAGATGCCCATGGGGTTGCCATGATTCGTGTGGCATGGACATGCTGGGGACGTGGTTCAAGCTGTGGACCAGAACCTGCTTCACCATGCCAAAGAGTTGGCTAAGCAAACAGCTGAATGTCTAACCCAAACAAATTGCCAAATCCTACTTGCGGCTAAGCACACAGCTACGGCAAAGCTTGCCACTTCACCACGTTTTGGCCCGTGGATTTTGGAATCCCTCACTGGATCTGGGGAGAATGCATGAATCCAGCGCACCCTACACCTTTCCGCCATACCTCGAATGGGATTCGTTTCGGAGCATGCGCGCCATGGGAAGAAAGGAACACAATGGTGTGCTCTCTTTTCTGGTCGGACTCCCCAGAATGGCTGGCTTTCTTTTTGATTTCCGTTTAAAACCACAACAAAGGGGGCACCCTCAACAAGAGACAACACAATCTGTGGAGCTGAGTGGACAGGCAAATCTTTTCCAAGGCAGACCATTGGGGATTTTCCATGTTTTTACATGAGTGAAATGCATGATTTTTCCCCCGAAACGAGCCAGAGGCTCGTGAAAATGCTACAGTGGTGCTCAGGACCTGTATCCAAGCTCTGAGTTTCGGGCCCTTCGGGAGTCAAGCTTAGGTTCTCCTGGCCTTTGTGTCCCGCTGGCTTTCCCACCACACATCTCCGTCCAGGGCTCCAATTTCATTTGCTTCTTAATTGGCCTTGCCGAAAGGCGATGCTTAAAGCCATGACAATATTTGGGTGTGTTCTTGAGCATACCTTTTGAGGCTTGTTCTTGAGAATACGAGTGTGCCATTCGTTTAAAGGACACGCAAAGGGGAAACACCGAACCCCGATTTGGGCCTATCCAGTATCCATCATTGAAAGACAAATGTGATCCTAGGGTCATCGCCTGCGGCCGCCGAGGATCAGCGTCTGGCGAATTGCAGGCACACCTCCAAGCGGGAGTACTGACAGACCAAATCCTGCACTGGTATTTACAGAAGCATCATTCCAGGGTACCATTTGTTTACTTGTTCGTTGGTACTTACAGGATTGACAAGCCTGACCTGAGGACCTGGCCACAATTTAAGCAACTAGTTTGCCCCCTTCACCCATGCACTCGCCCACCCACTCCCACCCTCCCACCCGCACGAACGCACCAACTCAAACCCAACCCAACCCAACCCCAACCAAAATCCCACCCCACCCAACCCACGCACACAAGCACTCACTCACGCACGCACTCACGCACTCACTGACTCACTCGTTCGCTCACTCACTGATCTGTGACGGCAACAAACCAAGCAAACAAGAATAAACACAAAAAGGCGAACACAACGAGAAACATGAACCACACAAGCACACAACCAACCAAACAAACAAACAAGCAAGCCAGCAAGGAAGCAGGCAATCGACCAACCAACCAACCAACCAACCAACCAACCAACCAACCAACCAACCAACCCACCCACCCACCCACCCACCCACCCACCCACCGAACAAAAGAGCTGGCGAATCAGCAGGCAAGCAAACATATGAGCAAACAAAGCAAGAAAACAAACAAAGGAGAAAAACAAACAGAGAAAGAACGAAATAAACAAACACGAAACAACAAACCAAACCAAACCAAACAGAGCCAAACACAGCAAAACAAAACAAACAACATCAACAACACAACAAAACAAACAACAAACAATGATTCTCCCAGCTACTTGCCTGAAGTGGTGTCCCTATCACGAGACATGCACCAAAACAGCTGCATAGTCCGCCCCAGGTAATTCTAATGCTCATACCACTGAACATGTGCAGAGAGCAATAAGTGCACAAAATTGATCCGAACTACCGCCAGCAACGCCAAACCGCAAACCCGCACTTCCTAATCTTCAAGGATTAAGGACTGGTTTTGATAAGCCAAGAAGGAAGACGAAAGAAAGGAAGGGAGGAAGGAAGAAATGAAGGAAGGAAAGACAGAAAGACAGAACAACCGAGATAAACACAGCAGAGAGAAAAAAACACGAGGGAAAACCCACATTCTCTTTTTAGCAAAAAATAACAAACACAAGTACGCATGCACACGCACACACACGCACGCACACAATCAATCCAGCAACACACACACAAACAAACAAACAAATACAACAAACAACATACACACACGAACATCGTACGTGCATCAATCGGATTGTGCATGTGTATGTATATGTAATATATTATGCATATGCTACTTCCCCAGGAACCTAGCGTCTTTCCTCTCCAGTTCATGATTTGCCCATCTAGGACTAGAACCAGACTGGGACCAAATAAACCAAGACTAGGACCAAACGAGGACTATGGAATGATGCCCACCAAAGGTTCACCAATGAAGCAATCATTGGGCGCCCTGCCCTTTGCAAGCAGCATTTTCTGATCAATCTTCATGCCCATCTTATCCAATCAGCTCTGGGCAAACCAAAAACGCGCGTCCTCCTTCCAAGGGCTCAAGGTCGCCCACCCCCCCTCGGTCGCAGCTTAAACGGAAGAATCCGAACAACAGATTGATGGACTCGGATGGACAATAGCAGCAAGCTCAAGTGCCATTCGTTCTCAAACCGAAAACTAAAAGGACACCCATGCTTTTTGAACACGTCGCTTTCTGTACGATGACAACAGTCCAATTCCCCAGGCCTTGCAACTCCCGAAGAGTGGACATTTCAGAGCCTTGATCAGAGTTTGACGATCGTCTTAGGACCCTGTCGGAGTCTGGGATCACTTGAATTCTCTCGGCTTGACCTTCTCAGTTTGTCTTCCGGTTCACGTGGGCCTCATTTTAGCCAATAGCTCAACCCAAAACACTTCATAACAGGATATCAGGGATAATTCGCTGGGTGTGCCATGCCCAACAAAAATGACCAAACTGAGAGACCCCTCAACATGTGTGGCTTGTGGCTTCTCTTCGGATTCCGTTTACCGACAAAAAGCGCCGGGAAAACCAGGAAGGCCACACCCAGCGGCTTTCCGCATGCCGGCCTGTCACTTGGTGAATGTGTTCCCGCAGCTGGCTCACCGCCGCAAAGTCGTCCAGGTTCACCGAGAAGGACTGACCCGACCTCGCGGGTGGCCCTGAGACCCGTTTGAGGCACCGTTTGCGGCGAGGCGAAAGCTCCACCCTTTGGAACCCGAAGAACACATCATGCTTCAAATGGATCCGTACGGCTCACCCTGATTCATGGCCGGTAAGTTCGAAGAGTCCCAGAAATGACAAAGGGGAAGTTGATGGATTCAGCAACACGGTGAGGATATCAAACACAGGGTGCCGTCTGTACTTGTATGGTTCAAGGTTCTCCGCCCTAATAAGAGTCTCTGGGAGCCCTTTTTCTGGGTTCCACGAAAAGTCCCAGGGATTCCTTCCGCTTCAGTCCTCGTCCAAATGAGGTTTCGCCTGACAAATTCATACGCACATTTCAACGCATGCGTCTATGCTTTGTACTGGTTGCCGAAAGCTCGCTGTCGGCGCTGTTAGCACAGCGGGTTCCGCTCATTTCACCTGCGCATCGCCCCCTGAGCACTGCGCCACCGCAACTTCACGGTGGGAGGTCCAACTCTGGCCTGGCCGCGGTCGGCGTGAGAGCTTGGGGACACAATGCAGGACCTGACTAAAATGGGCGCTCTCTTTTGGTCCTGATTGAAAACCATCCCGGAAACAAGAGACACCCATAGATTCATAGAGAATCGGGTGTGCCAGTGTGTTGTAGGTATCCCCCTTTCCGTTGGTTTTAGACGGGGAAACTGGAAAACCGTGTGTTTTCCTCTTTTCTGCGGGGAGGGAGGTCCCTAGAAAAACGCTGCAGAGGTTCTTCAACTCGCACTGGCTTACCGCGCCAAAGTACGCGTTCAGATCACCGCGAATTAACCCAAAATGTGTGTGCCGGAAAATGGGTCCCTTTAAACAAACAGGGTCCCCTTCTTGGTTGCTGCTGACCCCTCTGCAAAAAGTTTAACTTTTTGTGGGTTTGATGGGAAAACATACTGATTTCCCCAAAAAGTCAAAGTCTAAAGATCCAACCCAATAGCACTCAAGCCTTAACCTTACTCCTTGACCTCACTCGAAAGCTGCCACAAGCTCATGTTGAAACCACAAGGGAAATCCTGTCAAAGGTCACATTGCTTTTCGCGGGCCCATGCAAGTTCCCTTTTCGCGTTTTGGCGGTGAGGGAATGGGGTAATGGGAGCAGTGGAAGCCGAAAAAGAGTACAGGCTTCCCTAAATGCCCAAAACACCCCACCAGGAGCAAAGTCACTGACGACGACCTTTCCAACATCCTTCAATTCGAACTAGAGCAGACACAGGATGTTTTCTTTGGGTTGGCCTTGCCAAAACATGGGGGTGTCAACCCTCCAAATTGCAGGTTTTCCTTTTGGTTTCCCTTTGAAACCAACCAAAGAGAGAAACCCCTCAAAAAAAACACCCGTATGATAAGGCGCCGGAAGGATTGAACCTAGGACATCCACAGGTGTTTTGGCCTTCGGCACAAATAGAGCGGCTAATTAGCAAGGAGTCCATGCCAAGGCTTGTCGGTTCATTCATTCAGTGTCAGCCAATTGTGGAAACGCACGGAACCTCCAAAACGGGAAACTACGGCAAGCCTTCGACTCCCCAGTTCACCATCCAAGACCAACTCATGCTCGTGGCCCAGTGACCCAAAAGCTCGAAAACGGCAAACCTCTTTCCAGGTCCACTCCATTGAGCTAGATCCCGACCAGAAAAGCATCTGTTCGGATCTGAAGTGGGTCGCTGGGTTTCCTTTAAAGGCTTGCTGAACCTCCCAGAAACGGCCTCCACCGGGTGCCCGAAACATCCCCGGAGCCTTCCTTTGCACCGGCAGCGGGGCCCCGGGAGCCAGCTGCCTAGCCAGCTGCACGTCTCCGAAGGGAAACCCCAACCAAAAAGCCCCCCCCGAGAAGTCCAAGACCCGCCACTGGATTCGTGGGTTGCCACTGGATTTGGGAAACCTATTGCTTGCTTTAAACCTCCCCAAATATTCATGGGCCTGTGGCTGGAAAATCCGGGATGAGCACTCTGGCCCTGTCATCCCAGCTTTCTCGTGCGGCCCCGATGTTTCCCTCCAGAACTTCCATTGACTCCCAACGGAACTTGCACTTTGGCGCTGTAGAGGGAGAGGGACTCCATAGTTTTGGGGGATGTTTGATCTGATTTTGCTTGGATTCAAAAGGCAAACACTGGATCCGACTCTCAGCAATCTTGTTCAATAATTGACTTTGGCAGGCTTTCATTTTCTGGGTTGGATTCTGACCATTTTGAGACATAGACAAGTGAAACATAGTAATGGACCCCTGGTTGATTTACAGGGTGTGTCCGAAAATATATTGCGGGAATCCTTCACTTTGAAGGGACACCCGCCAATCGACCATAGCGTTCCGCGAACACAAACTTGACTTGCGATGCCACCTCCGGGGCCCAAGAGGTTGTGGGGGTGAAATTTGGGGACAAAATACGCCTGGGATGGGTGAGAGTCGATGAATGCTGGACTTCCATTTGCTCAAGCCCCCTGGGAAAAAAAAAATATGTCCAGTAGTGATAGATTCCCTCTAAAAACCAACAGGGACAATAACACATATTCTTTAAGCAACTGGATGTGGACAAACCAAGCAACATGCGGCTGACGTGGATCCATCATTCGGGTCTTGGGCTGCCGGTTTTTTCCGCAGCCGACAGGTCGGACGGGTCGGTCGGGGCGCGCCTGGCCGGCATTCCGCTCTTTGGCCCAGAGGGCGAGAAGGCCTCGGGAGCAGTTGGCAGACGCAATGGCCATGGGTCAAAAGCCCGGTTACCCCCAGTGAACATCCCAATCTCCACTGAAATAGGTTCTAAAATGGGTGCTTCACCTACCCCAAAATGGGATCCCATTGCTTTTGACCCACAGCCATTTGCTCCGGACCATGAGAAAATCCGAGGGCGGCGTTTGCCGTGGGAACTGGGTGTGTTTTTGAGGCTGTGAAAAATAACAAGGAAAACCACAACTTTGGGGGTCCAAATCCCTTTCTCGACACAGACCCAAACGCGAGGTGAGTCCCCCCTCCCAAAAGCGCTCCTTGCCAGGGACACCTTCTGCCCCTGCTATAAATCAAGGGGACCTCAAACATGGGTGGACAACTGGTAAATGTCACATGTAAATGTCCAACTGGTCACCAAGAATTCAGTCCCGTATTGAAACCAAGGTGCATCACAACTCCTTGCTTGACTATCTTTTGCCCAAGCCAAGGAGCCTTCCCTGGGTGCTGAATCGGGCTATTCAGCGCCCAGTTCCCTTCCAAACTTTTTCTTGACTTCTCTGATGGGCGGAGAAACACACGGTTTCCCGAGGGCCGCGCATCGGGGCGGCCCTTCTTCTTCGGCGACAAGCTGAATGGGTTGGAACCTCTGCGGAAATGGATGGCTTGCCGGTGGCGGAAATGTTCAAACGTTGCAGGGGAATCTCCATTAGTGGTTTGCCTGTGAACATATCTACAAATGGGTCTGTCCAAAGATACGGAACCACCAAACCCGTGCGCCCCTTCGTGTTCATCAGGTGTTCCGTTAAACACCATCGACCACAAGCTCCCATTTTGGCAAAGTCTTCCATTTTGTCCCCTGTGTGTACTAAAGGGACCCGGAGAAGAAACCTGGAACCTTTCTCAACGGCGGGAAGGCCAACCTCGAGAGGGTGCATGGGAAACAACGTCAAACATGTCCAAAGGTTGTCCCTTATTCTGTGCGGTGTCCCCTTTCGCTGTGTTTTTTTAAACGACGAGTAAGGGTTCGGCTTTTCACCCCCCATTCCTGGCTGAGCAAAATGGAGAATCCCGAGTCATTGGAAACCCCAGAAAAGAGGGCCGGATCTTTTCGTGAATGCAGCTACTATTTCCCTTCAGCTTAGAAAGCTCTCGCATTGAACATCAGGGTCCAAGAAAACTAAGATGATTCCTGCACTTGTTTACCTGTTGCTGGTTGTTGTTTGTTTGTTGTTGTTGTTTTTTTTGGGGGGGGTTCCCGTTTTGCACCAAAAGAGTCAAAAGGCAAAATTAGTGTCTGCCTGGATGACTACCCTGACTACCCAAGGTTTGGACCATGATGCGTTAATGTACCAAAAGAGCAGCAAGACATTCTTCGCGCCTGTCGACTGGAGATGTTTGCAGCATCTTGGGAGTTCTTTCGTCACTCGAGTGGCAAAAAGACCACCCTGGACCAACGTTAGATTCTACATATATATTTGTATATATATGCAAACCCCCCCCCCATGGACCCTGGTTTTACTGCCTTTTGGGGATGGCAAATCTAGAATTTCCCAAATTTATATTCTCGAAATGTCCAATTGTGGGTCCCCAAAGCGTGATAATTTGGAGCCCGGAGTCCTCCATAATGTCCCAGTATGATACCCTTTGCACATAAGATGTTACTTCAACTAGAATTGGAATTTTGAATATAGTTTAGTATGGATATAGTTTTCAAACATGTGTTTATGTTCAATTACAGCTTAAACAAGCAAATCCTTTCCAAATAGCAGCTACATGAAAATGTAGATATATATTTTCGGCTAAACTCCAACTAAATCTATAACACAAGAAGTTAGATGGAAGTTGTTTCCCAAATATAATCCAAGTGGTAAGTATAATCTAAGACGGACACAACTCAGGTTGCTTTTGATAATATCAAGTGAATAGAGACTACATCTCAAATATAATTCATATTAAATATGGCTAAACATTTGGAAATTAAAAATAGGATTTGTGTTGTTTACATTCTGGCCCTTTTGTAGCATAAGAAAGGTCCGACATTGAACTTGTTAGACGGTGTTCCAAAGGGAATTTCAAGGGAAGAGAGGTTCAAAATCTAAAACTATCTCGAAACAGGGAGTCTAGCTAAACCGTTGTATTTAAAGTTCTATTTGCGCAGGAAAGTTAATTCTATGTCAAAAGGTGGAGGTAGTAGATGAGCAAATGTGGACAGGTAGTTGAAGAGGGTGGGGGACGGTGTGTGAACGTACATACATTCTAAGAACTGAACACCATACCTTTGGACCATACCCCGACCAGTTTTGGCACAGTTTTCAAGGTTTTAGCCTACTCCAATTTGCATCACGCAGGTTTTTGCTATGCACTTTCTGTGGCCGGTGAAGGGTCAACGCAAAGTGAAAAAGGTGAGAGCTTTCAAAGAACTGTTTACCAATTCTGCGCCTGATTTGATCCCTTGCTGTGGCCAGCATGGTTCTGCACATGATGGAAACCCGGATCAGCTTTTGTAAACTGCAGTGAAAGCTGTTCCGACCAATCCTGGGACCTGTCCCACCGAAAAAGCACTTGTTGTGGGAAACTATGGCATGGCACTGCGCTCGGCTTCCCCCCTTCACTAGGTCCCCAGCTTCAGGGTCCGGAATGTGTGTTTTGATGGAATGGTGGGGTTGGGGTATGCTCAAGTCAGGCTGCGTATGCCGTGGAAATTGGGCCCTGATTTGAGCATACCCCAAATTGGCAAGGTTCGGGGTATATTGTTAATGTTTCCGGGAGAAAAGACTCCCAAACCGCCCCCAACTCCTGTTCCCAGGATTGGAGAATTGAGGACATGGCTACCCTTGGGGCGTCCCCTGGGGCCTAAACTAACCCCGTGCTTACCCTTGTTCGGAAGCCGAAATGAGTTCTCATCATCACCGAAAATTAACGTAGCAGCTTTAATCCCAGGCCTGTTTGCAGAGTCCATCAGAGCAAGTTAAACCCTCGCTGCGCCCTTGGCTGTCCCTAATCGAATTAATAGCTTTGCACCTTACCTTGCGAGCATCATTGTCAAACATGCCCAAAATAGCCCAAAATATGCTAAAACACGTATTTTTGGGGTATGCTCCAAAGGAATGGTCCTGGGTTCTTAGATACATATGTATATCTATATATACACATACATACACACATATATAGTACCCCCAATGATCCTGCGCCTCCTCATAAAATACTGGAAAATGCAGTATTTTTGAGCGTTGCACCTGCCTTTGTTTACCTCCTGGAAAGGGGTCAACATGAGCATAGCTGACATGAAGCTCACCAAAAGCACTTGAAAGTTTGTCTAACCAATAACTTGAAAGTGTGTCCACTGGATCGCTAAGCACTTGACAATTTGCTACTATCGGATGGAAGATTCAATATTGAAGAATACGCAGAACACTTTCCTGAGAATTGTAAATCCTGGCCACACCCAAATAGCATTAAAGTTCTTCTAACACTTGAAAGTGCTTTACCACTGGATTGGGGATCAATATTGAGGAGCCCACAAACCACCACTTTCCTGAGAATCATCCATCCTGGTCAACCCCTAAAATGTTCAAGTTGTTCTATCACCTCGAACATCCGTTACCACTGGATTGAACTATTTCACGGAAAACTTTTCCGAGAATCTTATTGAACACCGAGAGAATTGGGACAACCCTGGAATTGTTAAAACTTTGTAAAAATTATGGGATTCAAGATTCAAGATTCAAGATTCCCAGAAAATGTTTTCTCAGATTCTTGAATCTTGAATCTTGAATCCATAATTTTTAATATTTTTTAAACATGTCTGAGTTGTTCTTGCATTAGCTTGTATCACATCTGTATGCATGCATGCGTATCATATACATGTACGACCCTCCCCCAATTTTGACACAAATCCAAGAAGCAAAAAGAAGCATAAAACACTGGAAAATACAGGTCAACCGCACCAAACCAGGGTCCATGGGGGGGGGGGTACCATATATATATATATATATATACACAATTAGCACAAACCTGATAACCATATTGGTGGAGATGACGTGCGCTGCTCGTGCCGTCATGCGCAATGCTCACTTTGAATTGATGAGAGAATCTCTCCAACACTGCAAGAATCCGCACTAAAACGGGAACTACGTTTGATCCATCTCGGGAGGGTGTCCTTTATCCGAAGGAAACATCGTGCACCAGTTCCACTGGTCCGTTTCACCGGCAAATCATGTTTCGCGAGCGTCAAAGATCTATGTTTGAAGCCGGATGAGGGTTGAAAAGAAACAAACAACGAAAAAAACACATGTTTCTGTTTCGCATTTCGGTGGAAAGAGCCGTGGCTTGGAAGCCCCTGGGAGGGTTTACACCTGTTTGACTCTGGGCCCGCGGCTCCAGTCGTGAGGAGGGACAAAGTCCTGGCCGGGAAAGATGGGGTACCTGAAACCTACATGGGCAAAAAAACGAATCTGGAGTTCCCCAAAGCAAAGCTTGATCCAACCACTGGCTTCCCATGAGTGGCAACTTGAAAAGAACTGAGAGACCCTCCTTTGCAGCTCCAAGGGGTTGTTTGGATGCCAACAGTGCCATGGATCCACCCTGCAAGGGTGTTGACAGTGTGCTGAAAGAGGAAACCAACAAATGAAATCCACAGTTGGCTCTGATTTGCGATAATGTTTGCCCCAAACCAACCATGAAATTCCTTTATTCTGCTGATGTCGCCGCCTTATGATCCCCGAACACGTCCTATAATGTTTCTATGCCTACTTTTGCGGCATCCCTTTATATAGTCCCTTGTCGATTTCGGGAAAACGCTTCAAAGGGGTCCACCTCAACCAAGGGGTTTGTGTCTAAATGGCAACACCCCAAACGGGGCTTCCATTTGGTTTCCTTTCGACACAACTCGGAGAAAACAAAACAAACACACACACACACAATACGGTATGTCCAAACTTAAAACTCTTGCAAAGGTTTTTCTCAGTCATGTGCCCTTCCTGAGAGAATTTGTCCAAAAGAGTGCCAACTGATTGTTAGACACGCAACACAAAACTTCAAAAACACAAATCGATTCTCACTCCTCGCTGGCCGATCGGGCAGGGCTGCTGTTGCAAACTCCAACCTGGCCGAGGCTGGGCCCAACAAAATGAGCAAGAATCTTGACTTGGGAAAGTGTGATGGGGGGTGTGATTCTTGGGGATTCATATGAGTTTGCCAACTGTTTTGGAGAGTCTTCCTACTCAAAGGTCATAGCCAAATCAGCCCTTCCATTAAGTTGCAAATGGCATTGCTCAGTTTGGCTTCAGGATCCGGGGAATGTACTTGAACATCTGTCTATGCCTGGAACTGGAGAAGATTCCCCCAATCTGGGCATTCTGCAAGTCATTGGGAGCCTGATATGGTGGGGAATTTCATTGCACTGACTTTCTCAAATGTGTTGGCCAAGCTTTTTTTGCCATTTGGGAAAACCTTTGAAGTTGGTCAAGTGTTTCTCAATTCCAGCAATTTCCAAGTTAATCTCAGCTCCACTACCTGAAAGTGCGCATGACTAAAACCCAATAGCTGACAGACTTGCCTTCCCAGATCTAGTTGGACTGCCTTTGTTTCTCTATTTTGGCTCTTGCTTTGCTTGGCAGAACAAGGGAGGTGTGAAAGCCAGGGATACCTTTACCGTGCTTGATTTCAATCGGAAACTGAACACAAAGGAGAACAAGGGCCCCCCAAAAATGGGCAGTCGCCCATTTGTTCATCTGGTGGACTCCGTCGCTGTTCGTTTATGGATCACACGAGAACGCACTGGCTCTTCGCAGCTTGATTTGGTGTATGACATCGAATTTATAGGACCCTACAAATTGGTTGGCTTCCTTTCGGTGTCCCTTCTGGGCAACCAACAGGCCGCCCCCCCCCGCAAAAAAAAGAGAGAGAAAGACATACACACACACAATACGGTCTGTCAAAACTTACAACTCTTGCAAAGGTTTTCCTCGGTCATGTGCCCTTCCCGAAAGTACTTGTCCAAAAGTGCCAACTGATTGTTAGACACGATACACAAACTCGTGGGTGTCACAAAACCTGTCAGGTGGCTATTTCCCAAATTTCGGGATTCGCCATGGCCTCGGACATGCCCTCGTCATTGGAGGTTGAGCTGTGCTCGGAGCCTTGGCTGCGGGACGGCGTTCGGACATGTGCGCGACAAGACGTGTATATACATGTATATATAGATACTGCATAGATATGAGACAGCGTCAAAATTACTTGTCTGGGGTGAATTCATTCGGTGGTAGGACGTCCCGGATCGTTTTACAGGTTTTGCTTAAAGAGGACGTCCCGTATCGTTTTGCAGGCCGTGGCTACTTGCTACCAAACGGTCTTTTGCGGGGGCAGCGCCGACGTAACAGCAACGGAATGGAAGCTTTCACAAGCGGGCGTTCCGCGGCATCAAACCAGACGGCGGCCAAAGAGCAATCCCTGCAAGCAAAGCAAATCACACCACGGGCCGCAGATTCCTTTTAGTCTCCCTCAGAGCTTGAGTTGAAGCTCGAGGAGGAGGAACTTGCGCTTGACGCAGAGTCCTCCTCCAACGGCTGTTGCGCCGCTGCTTTTGCCTAGTTTTGCGCCTTCACCATCAGCGCTCCCTTGCTTGCTGGGTCTGCCACGCTTTCTCTCATCGTTGCCTCCCTCAAGTCCTGCCTTTGTCCAGCGAGTCCGCCCCGTGCTAAATCCCAGTCTCGAGGCAGTTTCAGGCGCGCCAGCAAACTCACGCACTGTTGCGTCAATGTCGCTTGGCTGCTGGAGCTGGGGTTGTTCGCTTCAAACCCAGGGCACACGTGCAGCCGCTTGAGGAGAAAGGACGAGGCTGAGTCCAAAGATGCTTTTCACGCCCCCAAGACGCCGCCGGCGCTGGAGCCGAGAGGCCGGCTTCGTCACCGTGGTGGTCTTCTTAACCTTCTCGCGGGCACTCTTTGCAATCACCTTGCTTGCGGAGTTTCCGCGCTCTTCGGCTCAGCCTTTGGAGCCGAGGCAGCTCTCTCCATGCGAGCACGCTGCCCCACTTCTCCTTCTACACGCGCTCCTCAACCCATCGTGATTCTTCCTTTGTCAGCTCAGTACCGCTGCTTCCGGCTGCACGGCCGCGAGACTGCCTGGCAATTCCTGGCATTGCAGTTCTTTCCCAAGCCACCCCCAAATGTGTGTCTCCTCGTAACTGCAGGGGTAGCGTTTGGGTGCCAAATGGGCCACCCCCTACATTTAGCCTCCTGGCCCCTTGCGGGGGTATCGTCGGGGTATCGTTTTGGGGTATCGTTTTGGTGGCCGGTTGTTTTCTGGAAAGCGGCGCTGTTTGACAACTGTCTTACTTCCGCCCTAAGGAGCCTCAGAGAAGCGCTGGAGCGTGCAAAATGCAGTCCAGCAGTTTGCTTGCGGCCGAAGAAAGGTGACCTCCCAAACATCAGGCTTGGCCAGCAAGAGGGCAAGACAGCGGGATATCCTCAGAAGACATAGCTGCCGTCTTGGTTTCCGTCTATGGCTGCTCCATCCCCCAGCTCTCGCGCTTTCCAGCTTTTATCGTAGCTTTTTCACGCGCAGAGCATCTAGTCTTAAAGATCACGCGCAAACACACGAATTCTTCGAAAGAGCTCGCTCAATTAGTTCCAGTATTGCGCAAGTTTCTTCTAAACTTCCTTGACCAAACGGAGAACTGCAGTTACACCCCTTCTAAACTTCCTTGACTGAACGGAGAACTACAGTTACATCCCCTTCACAAACGAAAACGCTAGAAGAAAGACTCTTGCCCAACTACAACTCGTAGTGCTTCTTCCTGGCCGGCAGTGACCCCTGCAATGTGGTGGACACATGCTAGAAACATTCGCCCCGTTCAAGCACAGCTTGTTTTTGCCACACGCGTCTTGTCACAAGCCAGCTGGTGCTGCAAATGTGAAGTTCCCTTTTGACCCCCTTGTGTGTATGTGTTTATCTATATATATATATAAACATGTATGGTGTGTGTATATATATATATATATGGGCGTTGGTCAAAATTCTGTGCATCTTTCTTGATTCTTCCGCTGCCCTTGCGTCATCCCTTCCGCGCTACTTCCGCGCGTGTGGCGCGGGTTCATTTTTGTCCGCATCCGAAAAATTGCTTTGGCGCCTGGCGGCTGTCCAGGCCTGGGACAAGTGGCTTTTCTCAGGGTCCGGAAAACATGTTCCTCTGTGAACGAAGCTCAGGTCCCGCCAGAAACCCGCTCTTCTTTAAACCCCTTCGGAAGTCGCTTCTTTAAACCCCGTTGAAAAACAAGATCCAACTGTTCGAATCTCATGGTGCGTCAGGGACTTGCTTGTGAGAATGAGCTGTTCAAGGTTTAGAGTTCAGGGTGCCTCAAGCCTTTTCATGGGAAAACCGGGGTCGCTTGAATCAGTTAGAACTTCCTTCTTGAACATGTCAGATCTTAGGGCTTGAATCTCAGTAGTTGTCCGTCATGAAAATTCGATTGCGCACGCAGGCACCCACATCCATTTGTGTTTGGGCTTGTTTTTTTTGAGGAACCCAAAGTGGGTGGTTTCCTGCAGTTTGCCTTCAAAAGCAACCCCGAAAAAGGGGTCCTACTTTGAGACACGCCCATGTTTGTAAGGCGCAACACCTCAGTCCTGAAGATCCTTCTTTGAATAAAAGCCGGCAAGCTGTTTCCCACGTGCTTCCGTGGCCGATAATTGGTGTGGCGCACAGCTGAGGTAGCCGCGTGGCAGCGCGGCAGTGTAGCTGCGTGACAAACAGCGGCCAGGCACCATGTCAAAAGGCACCCCGCCCGTTAAAACGGCTACCTCCGGTTGCGCCTTCCTCGCAAAAGGAGCCAAAAACCGGGGGAGAGGGGTTTCGTTTTCTCTGCTTCGCAAAGAATAAGACACGCCTCTGGTGGACTTGAGTTTAGCCTGCTCTTCTGAGTGCTGGCTCTGACTGGCTTGTTCAAAAAATGGTTTGGGACCCTACCCTTCAAAACAGGATTAGGAGTAGGTTTTGAACAAGCCAGTTTGTTACACACTACTAATGGACATGTTCCCCAGCTTTCGGCTGTTCTTAGTAGAAATAAGGGAATGGGCCCAGCAAACCTTCAACACCATCTTGCACCACCAACACATTTCAATTTGAATGTGTTTAGGCTCATAGGCCCATCAAAATGGTGCGTGTTTTCTTGCCACAAGATCTAGTGTATTTCTTCACCGGCCCCCCAAAAGGGGTTGATCCCCAGAGGCCAGGGTATAAACAGGGCACCCTTTTTGTTTTAATACTGGAGGACCAAGAAGGGAAGCCTCCCCCCCAAACAAAATCGGGATCAAAGAGGCACATCTTGTTTGCCCCAAGCAGCCGCCATTGTTTACTCATTCCGCGCTCAGCCGTCTGAAGAGCCGGCGCTGTCTGAGCTAGAATCGCTCGAGCTGGCAGAACTGCTGGATGCAGAGGCGCCTTTCGCTGCGGCTGCCGAGAGCTCGGACCATCGCTCCCTGTGTTATAGAAGGCGGGCTGCGCGCTTCCGCGCCAGCCTTTCCCAGGGCGACTCAAGGCTCACTATTTGCATACCCCGCTTCTGATGCTCCGCGTACCGCCGCAGGATCCCGTTTTCTTCATTCTGCTTTGGCTTTTTCTTGTCCCAGGGGCGCGATGTGCATGTGGCTCCGTGCAAACGGCTCTGTGCAAGCGCTCTGTGCAGATCTCTGCGGAGGTAGTCCGTGCCAGTTACTCTGCGCAAGTAACACTGTGCAGATAACTCTGAGCAAGTAATTATCTGCGAGTAGCTCTGTTGGAGAAGAGCACAAATTCTTCTGACCCCCGGCCAGACCATACTTTCTAAGGCATGCGCATCATACTTGCGCTGCCCTTACATGCCTCTTCCGCGCGCACAGTCCCGCACGTTCTTATATGATACGAATCTCGTGCCTGACTACTTTCTCTTACATGGGTTTTTGATCGATGCCCATATATATGTACCAGTCCCTGGGCCATGTACCCCTTTCATGGTATGGTGCCCCCACTCCCCCGCATCATCCGCATCTTGGGGATGATGCTGGCAATGCTGGGGATGCTGTCCAGTACCGTGTGAGCCCTGCAGCTTCGGTCCTAGACTGCCCCTTTCACCCCGTGAACCGACACCCCCGCACCTCTCGCAACATCCTACCCTAAACCAAACCACCCTGCAACCCCTCCTTGACCAACCCTAGCCTAAATCAACCCAAACCCCAAACCCACCCGAAACCCACCGCAAACCAACCCTGAACCAACCCTGAACGAACCCTAAACCAACCCACCAAGCCTAAACCAACTCCGAACCACACCCCAACCACCCAACCACCCAACCACCCCACCACCCCACCACCTCACCACCCACCCCACCCCCACAGGGGGGGGGGGGGGTTGGGGGGGAGGGGGGGGTCCACGGCCTGGAACATGTATATATATGTATATGGTGCACATAGTGCACATATATATATATACATGTATCTATATGTTTATATATTATATGGTGTATAGATGTGTATAGTGTGTGTATATATATATGTACATGGCATAATGTTTATTCATTTAGGGCCTCCTTCTAGCAGCTTTGCGGGTCACACGGGATGTGGTAGGGGCTCTGATCCGAAGAGCAACTACGCAGGAAGGCAATCCCTCAATCCCTGGGGGTGCCGATAGGGTCCCTCACAGGTCCCTTTAAACATCCCTTGAAGAAGACCCGCGGCGACGCTTAGAACCTCCCAAGGAGACTGGTTCCCCAAACAGTGTGTCTACACTAAGGGGTTCTTACGGTAAGAGAAAGGCCTTGGTGCCAGATTGAGGTGCCCGCTCTGTCCGCGAGCGTTTTGCGTGGTATTTACCGCAGATTCGTGCTCTTGCTTGATGTCGAAGTGCGTTTCGACTGCGCAGGCTCGCACAAAGTGAGGTGTCGACTTCTGTCCGCGAGCGTTTTGCGTGGTATGTACCGCAGATTCGTGCTCTTGCTTGATGTCGAAGTGCGTTTCGACTGCGCAGGCTCGCACAAAGTGAGGTGTCGACTTCTGTCCGCGAGCGTTTTGCGTGGTATGTACCGCAGATTCGTGCTCTTGCTTGATGTCGATCTGCGTTTCGACTGCGCAGGCTCGAGCAAAGTGAGGTGTCGACTTATATATATATATAGAAAGAAAGAAATACAGAGACAAAACAACGAGAACCAAGGAAGAAGCTACCTAGCTAGCTAACTCACTAACTCAGGCACCCTGTTGAAACAAACACACAGATCTTGCCTTTTGTAGTGATGCTCGCGCAGCCATGGGCGCAATAATCTTGGCGACGCTGCTGGAAGCGGCAGGCGCGGCGCGGAATTCGAGCATCTCGGGTCATGTGTCTTGGGAGGCTGCGCAGGCGGGTGCTTTCTTAAGGCTTATCTTCGGATCGACAGGGCTTATGGTGGGAGAAGTTTGCAGCAGGAAGAGCTTCGGGCGCTGGCGAAGGACAAGCTTCTCGCCGTGCTGCCGGCGGTTTCATTTCAGGCTCTTCTGGACTACGCCGTGCCTGGCGAGATGGGGAGGGAACTGGAAGAGTACGGAGAGGTCCTCGTGGCGGCGCAGGAAGCGGCCAGAGTGACAGAGCTCCTTCGTGCATTGGGAGCGGGTGCAGATGAGCTCAGGAAAGTGAGCAGTGTGTGAGGGATCGCAATACGAAATGCCAGTGGCAGAACACGCGCAGCGCAAAGTGTGCGCTCCGAGCGCGCGGCGCCTGCGTTCGATTTCTGAAAGAAACGCCAGTCAGCGACGCTTCGGGTGGTGGGTTGTTGCACTACCTGGTTGTCCGCACACGTGCACTAGCTTTGCTTCGACGGCAACGCGGTACTTTGCCTAGAGCTGCGGTTCAAACATACTTTCACAACTGCATCGCGCCAATTCCTCTATGTGTCTGCATGTGTGCCTGTATGCGCGTGTCCCTGCGCGTGTCCCTGCGCGTTCCGGCACAAGCTTGCACGTGCGCCGCTGGCGGTTGCGCAGGGACAGCCGATGTCCAACCTTGTGCATAACCAATCGGTGATGCAGCGGATGCGCTTTGTTGTGGTGGAACACAATAAGAAAAGTAGTTAGCCAGAAGCAAGCACAAGCTGGTTCTTTTCGACGCAGCCCCACTTCAGCTGCCATGCTTTGCTCGCGGAAAAATGCAGTCGCGTTCCTTTGCCCCCTACTCTGTAATTTACTCATCCACACACTAGTTACGCACGAAGCCGTGTGTTCCTTCCTCACACGCCTTGTCTTACCTCCATGCTGCATGCAACAACGCTCCTGTGCGTGGAAGTCGTGTCGCTTTGGCTCAGCTCCGTCCTTTTGCCGCCGACACTCTCCGTACTCATGCCTCGACGCTGCCTGACGCATCCGAGTATCGTTGACGCTGAGACCGCCGCGCTCTCGAACAACACTGCGGCTGCGCGTGACGATGACGCAACGCGCCATGCCTGCTGGCCGCTTGGAGACACGCGGTGCCGCCAATCTGCCGGGCTTTGGACGAGCCCGCCGGAAGCACCCAAGTCGTTCGCCACAGTACAGCTCGCCCCAGCAGAAAGCGCACGTATTCGACCGCCTGCTGCTATGTACCCCGTGCTTTGCGCTCAGGCCGCGTGTCTAGGCGATGTCTGTTTGTTCTTGCGGCTCATGACGACCTGCTGTGCTGCACGTTGCCGCGTCTGGATGCAGCGCGCCCGCGCCGTACGCCAAGAAGTAGAAGCTTACGCAAATTTTATCCTGGCAACACGGCTGTGGCTGCCAGGGTTCTTGGCGCACGATGTCATTGACGTGCGTGTGTCTTGGAATGCGCCCGAGTGGATCCATGCACAAATCCGCCAGCCGACTTTCTTTGACAACTCTTTCCGCTGTGCAGACGAAGCTGCCATGCAACAGTGGATCGACCAACATCCGCGCCTTCCCGGCCTGCCGCCCCTCGCAGCGCTGCACCGCATGAACTGCCTCGATAACATGGCGCCAAATGAGTTTGACGCCTTCTTGTGCGCCCTGCGATCTGGGAGCGCGCGCTTTATGTACACGCCTGCTGTGGTAGGGTCCGAGCCAGACAGCCCAGTCTTTGGGCCTGCCTTGATAACGCTTCTGTGCTGCGAGAGCTTGCCACTAGCACTCTGCGTGCGCCGCGTCGGCTGTTTGCAGCAACAAGCTACCACGCCTTGACCGCAGCGCCTTTAAGAAAAAACGAGCATGCCTGCTGGCCATGCCTGTGCGCCTTTTTTCTTCTTGGTGCTGCATGTGTCTCTACTCCCACACACGTGTCCTCGTCTTTGTGAGTGTGCGCGCAAATGCCGCAAAATGATGTTGCAGCTTCCTGACAACAACCGCCGTTTTGCGGCGCTGCCCGCACAATACTCTGCAGCGTGTGACCGCCGCCTATCACTGTTTGGGGTCTCGTGCCGGGGTAATTGAGTGTCTTTTTTGAGGGAACCCCCTTGGATCTTTTTCACAGAAACCAAAAGGACAACACACCTGTTGGGGTACCCCATTTTAGTGCCGCACCCATTTCGAGGTTTCTGTCAAAATTGGGGAACCCCAACCAATCACTTTGGACCTTCACCGAGGGGCTGGAGCACCTGCTCTCGCTGTCGTCGGCAAAGGAGTTCTCGGCCTCAGAGCCTGGCGCTAGCAGATCCACAGGCTAACCGTAGGTTTGGAAGGCTCGCACCTGGACAATGTGTCTAGGTCCTCCAGTAGAGAGGTTAGAATAAGGGTACCATCTTTTTTCCGTAGCCTATTTTAGTAGGGGACCCTCCCTCAAAAAAGGGTAAAAGGAAACTATTGGGGGACCTAGACGTGTATACTCCAAGTAAAATATCGTAATTAGTAGCGTCATACGACTCTCCAGAAGTTGGTATGCGTTCAGGAGGATTCCGGCGCTTTTGGGCCCAAAGAGTAGGGTTGTTCTCAATGGGGTCACGCCAAACTGACACCGGCTTCCTTTAAGGCCCCAAGAAAGTACCCGATCTCACACGTATACATTTGTATTGTTTCGCATAATTGCCTTTAAAAAGCTTTCCACTTAAAGCCCGTGTTGCCCATTCAAATTAAACCGCAGGCATTGCAATGCATTTAGCCTTCGGCTTTCCAATAATGGACTTGCCCTTGCTTTCCATGCTTCCCTTCAACAAAGGAAGTGGGATCTACCTTTCGTTTGCCTTTCAGACTCTGTCTGCTCCAGCTCCTTTTCGGCTCACCCGTCAGACATGTCCACGCTTAGTCGCGGCCTGCCTCTGTCCGACATGTCAGACACAGACCTTTCGTCGTCGTCCTCGAACTCTCCATGGAGATCCTGCACTTCAAGGCACCGAGCTCCATGGACTTTGCTGGACCCCAAAGGGTAGATATCATCGTGATTGGTTATGTCCAAACAGTTTCAGAGGGCGTTCCTTTCGGCGTTCCCAACTATACTTCACGGCCACATCCCATTTCAGACGCCCCTCACTCGCATCTGAGGGCCCGGGATCCTTGTGCCCCAGAGGAATCCTACAGGTTTCAGGCAAAATGCACTCGCAGCTCCTCGGGAATGCTGGAAAGCGAATGAGAAGATGCGATCGGATCTGAAGACCTGAGGCCGGAGACATCAGAAAAAGGCCGAACAAAACACTGCATATAAAGGTGCGTGCGTGTGGTTGCAGCCGAAAGGCAAGAGCTACTTAGACGTGTGTTTTTGTGTCCAGCAGCCATGTTGAGGGATTCCCAATCAAAATCCAGCCATCTTGCTCCTCCCCAAGCGAAAGCAGTAGTTTTGTGTCATGGGTAAACTGATGTCAGCACAGGGCGTCCAAACGCCTGGAACAGCCCAACCGGCCCATAGAATCTCGCAATTGGGTTGGTCTTTGCCAAGGTCGAACATATTGCTTGGGAAACCGCATTTCCGTCAACAAAAAGGCGAAAGGTCGATCCACAAAGAAACTGAGGGCAACTGGACATAATGTCCATCCATCCCCCTGAAAGGGAGTGAGAAGGCACACCCCCAACCCAACTATCACTTGGCCTTGCCTTCATTGCTTGTTGATTTGGATTGGTGGTTTGGTTCAAATCCAACTTGACTCATCCAAACCACCAACCATGGAAAGCCCGCCCGCCCTGCCTGGACCGGTGGGAACGTTGGTGCACGTTCCGCAAGTTGCGGCTGGGCCGGCGGTGGGAGCGCTTCAGCCCACTCTTCCTGGACGATTGGTCTGCAAAATGAGAAAAAGCTGCAGCAATGAAAAACATAGGCTGGGGGCCTCTAGCCTAGTATTCCCTAAAAGTGGAATCGCTGAGCCCCGACTTGAAATGCTCAGCTTCAAAAGTCTGGGATGAACGGAACAGGTTCCACTCTGCAAGCTTGACTCTGGGTGCCAGGTAGGTAGTGACTCTACTCCCCTCCCCCAACAGGAACGGGCTTCGTAAACCTTGTTCAGGTACTTTGTGGGTGAGTTGTTGAAGTGCATACGCGTTTTCGGCCCAGCAGTGATCTAGAAAATTCGGAACCCCGTACTGTAGGAAAGTGATCGACCTGAGCTCGTCCTGCTCCGGTCGAATAATTACTCTGTGCAAACCTCCTGAACACGAAACACATGATGTTGGGTCACCAAATAAAGGTTCACGCGTTTGAGTATGTCCATGTGCAAATATCGGGAATTTGCCTTTGCCATAACCTTTCAAGCAATGAGAGTCCCCATTCAAAAGGAACCCGATATATGTGTGAGGTGTTACTTAGATCCATTTAGATCCGGGGTCAAAATTAAGTCCGGACTTCCAAACTGATATATTGGCAACAACCACATTCTTCGCAGCCCCCACTAAACTAGCTTCAGAACCAAAAAATGCAATGGACAAACACATATACCAAGAACAGTGAAGCAGGCATCCGTACGTCCCCTTAAACCCATTGAGCAAACCCAAAGGTAGACTTAAACCTGTCCTTTTCTGGGGAATTCCGCCCCGAGATTTATGTCAGCGGAAACAGAACCCTGTGGGTCCACCTGTTAAGTCCCGAAGTTTCTTCGGAAAAGATCAAACAGAGCTGTAGCCGGCAGCCCTACTAAGTCCGAAGATAGGCGGAATAATAACGAAATGTAGGGAACCTGTCTTGTTCAAGATCTTGTGAAACTCTGGCGGTTAAATCCCAAACACAATTAACGGACAACTATATGAAAAACAAGGATCAAACAATGTAACAAACTGGATGTTAATCGCAGGGCCTGAAAAATAAATAAAAACAAAACCATCAACTGTGTATTTTTTTGGGCAAATTAGCAATTATGGGCTATCTAGCACCCAGCACAGGGAAACCATGGACTAGCTACTACCATGTCCTTCCACAAGTCATGGCATCTCCTTAACCCCCCCTTGAAGCCAAAGGATTTTGGATACCCAAGCTGCTCTCCCTTCCAACTAGCGGTCTGGGCTGAAGCGCCAAGCTTCAGTCGCGCCAAGTCTTCCAGCGTTAGCACCGGATTGGGCTTCGCCACATCCCACAGCACCGACACGTCGTCCGAGGTACTGACCTCGTGTCTGCCGTAGGCTCACAGCGTTGGGTGTGTGCGGTGACCCGCGGGGCATCCAGTCCAAACTTACCCTGTTTACGTGGAGGTGGAGGGGCCTTTAGAAGGGGAGACGTCCAAAGACTCGAAAGAAGGAGTGTTGAACTACGGTTGAAAAACAGTCACTCTTCTATTTTTCCTTTTTAAGAGCACTCCGGTTTGCTTGAACCAGCCAACTGTGATCACACCTGGTGCTTTTGGGGCTCTTACAGGAATCCTGTGGCTAAACGGATCCATTTCCTGCTGTGCTC